CCCACCACATACATGCACACGCCCACACATAGCCCCCTCACCCCACACACACCAGTGCTGACATCCCCCCACACACCCCCCTCACACACAATGTACAAGAGTAAGGCTTTATTTTTGAGCTATTATGCAATCACCTCTATATGCAGTACTCAAAAAAACATGAATCAGGATAGAAATTCTTTTTAAATACAATTGAAATATGTTATAATAGAGGTTTGATTTTTAGTATATGATTTGTTTTTCTCTATAATTTGTTAAAATGATATCTTCTGAAAGATTTTGTGTGCGGCCCTCAACAGCACACCAAAACTCGTCCAGCCAAAATAATTGCCTGCCCCTGTTTTATACTGTATTGAATATAGCAAGTCTAAAAAGTAAAAATAGAAAAGAAATCAAGGTGAGGTGGATGTAAAAAATGAGGCTATATTAGGTCAATTATGGCCAAACTAAAACTCCAGATAAAATTATCATTTGTATCTAGCCTCCCCTAGCTCATTCTTAGACTCTGAGAAGAGTTTGCATCATAGATGTCATGCCTACAGCTTTTATTAAGGGAAGGAAAATCCTGATTTTCACAAAGGGAGCTATGCATTAGATGTACAACTGTACATCTGACCTTGAAAATCAAGGCCATCTACTGACTTAATTTACACTGACACTTCCCATACTTTTTGTGTGGCACTGGCTTAGCTGCACCAGAGGCAGCAACAGTGAACATGCTTAGGTAGACCAAGTATGTGCACGATGTTGCCTAAACCTGTTCAGAGAATAGAATTGTTCTACATTACATTAAATATATGTTTGAAGCACGATAGGTTGCAAAGGTAAACATTTGGGACTTAGGATCTATGCCAGTATTGAAGATGCCTGTTCAGTTTTAAGTCATCGCACCTGGTTTTTAATTACATAGTTACCTTTTTGTTTTTTTAAAGGCCCAGCCTCAATCATTTGCTGCTGATTAAGTGTCCAGTGCTGCATGGTATATTTGGAAACTGTCCTCCCCTCTTTGAATTCCACCATAATCTAAGTCTCCTATACAGGATACCACTTGCATTTCTGCACCCCAGACATGGCTGTAGCAGGTTCATAAACCTCCACAAGTGACATATAGAGGGGGGACATTGACCAGAAATGTTCTTCCTTGACCTCAGAGGTCAAATCCACTCCCAGTTTCCATAATCTCTACTGTCTCAGCACTCCTGGGAAGGTTGCTGCCTGAAAGAATGAAAACTGCTGATATCGTAAGCATCAGTGTGCAATCCTCCATGCCTTATGAGTTTCACATCCTTTCCCCACGGCAGGGAGGCACCAGAGATTTGGACTGGCAAGGTTTAAACAGTTGTTAATGTGGGTAAAACAATGTATCTATCCATAATCCTGATCATGGGGGTAGCTGAGTCATTTTACCTCAGCACATTGAGCAGGGATGGCATAGCCCTGGCTGGCAGGGGACCCAGGGGTTCAGCCTGCTAGCCCGGAGCTGCTCCACCCCAGCTCAGCCTGCTCAGCCCTTCACTGTAGCACCCTCATGTCCCAACCAGCCCCAGTCCCCGTCTACACATGTGGTGCAGTGCACTAAATAACCCCACCCTGTACTTGTGTCAAGCAGTATTATCCTGCAGTGGAGTTAATTAGTTTACTGTAGCCTAACAGTGCTGCACTTGGAGAAAGTGACATTTTACTGCAGAACTAATTAGTCAACTCTGCAGTAAAGTGCACATGTAGATGTCCCCACTGAGTCATATTTAAGTTTGCTGGGTTTTGTTTGTTTTTATAATTCTGTCATTTATGTACATAAAACTGTTTGGAGGTTTGCCTCGTTTATATGTGGGAGAGAGAGTGTGAGGTGACAAAACTTTTGTCTCCTATAATTTGTAGGGTCCCACAGGTCATCCTGGGCTTCATGGAATGGTAGGTCCTCCAGGAGTGAAAGGAGAAAAGGTAAGCTAAAAGCCTAAGGGCCTAAATCAGCATGAAATCCTTTTCCACTTTCAAGCTCTAAAAAGTCTTGAATGGTTTTATCTGTAGCATACTGTTGTCTGGCTTTAATATGTGGCTTTTTACTGAATCCAGCTCACATAACTTCTTAACATATCTCAAAGGGCATTTTGAATAACTGTATTCTGCACTGATGTGTACAGCCAATTTTGTTTTCAACACATTACATACAAAATCCATTGGTGAGCTACTTGCTGTACTTCACTGTGGCAGGGCACCTTTGGTGCCTGCCACTTTAAGAAGTTGGAGCAGACTGTGGAGCAGCCGGCAGCGATGCAGCCTAACAAGGCAGTCACATGACTGCGGTAGGGCTCCTGGATTGGTGAATGGGGCTGCACAGCTTCAATATAAACAAAGGCCCTCAGAGCTGAGTGGGCAGTTGCTGCAGGGAGCCAGAGAGAGAACATCACCAGCCAGAGCTGCTGCTCCCAGAACACCTGGAGGTCAAGGGTAGGAACTATGGGGATGGAGGAGGTTCCTGGTCCTGGGGAATGACCTAAAACTACACCCTGCTAGGGTAGGATGGTGTGGTGGGTTTGCCTGTGGCAGGGTGGTCCCTAGGAAATGCCACACCAGTGCCTCCCTAGTGAAAGGTGAGTATGGGCGCTGTATAGCCTCAGCCTTCACAACCTGGTGGGGACAGGTGAGGGGTCCAGGCATATCATCAGGCGTGAGACCCAAAGGGAGCAAGGCTGAGTACCCCAGTGAGGGGGCGGAGTAGTGGGCCCAATGATAGCATGTGAGAAGGCCGCGTGAAGTAGGGTTCACATGCGTGGACCTGAAGGACTCCGCATGGGCTGCATAGAGTAGGGTCTGCATGGGTGGGCCTGCACATAAGCCAGCTTTAGCGATTAAGTGAGCTGGGTTTGGAGGGGCCCAAGAAGGCGGGCCCATATGTGAGAGAGAAGGCAAGCGGCTCAATGACCTAACCGGAGAAACCCTTGACTGGTCAGTACTGGGGCCAGGACCAAAACATTCAAAGACCAGACCACCCACCCTGAGGGATGGCCAGAGCCAGGCGCCTGGACTTCCGGCTGGCCTAGAGGTGAAGCCAGGGCCTGTGTAGCCAAAGGTGCCAGAGGGGGCCACTGCCAAGAGGGACAAGGGTTTAGGGAATTTTGCAGCCCAGAATGAGGACAGAGAGCAGGCTGCCTGAGGAGGAGGGATCCAGCAGGTGGGGACCGAATGTCAGGCGGGCATAGAGTGAGGCCCATTGTGGGGCCAGGGACACATAGTGATGCCATCTGCGAGGCATGGGACATGGTATAAGGGGAGGTTCAGAGCCGTGTATTACGCCCTTGGCATCAGGGAGTATATGGGCAGCCCAATGCCAAAGAAGGAGATTCCCTGAATCACCCAATACTTTTTAAAAATCTAATAATTTTTAATTTCATCTCATGATTTTGGGTAGCCTGACTCATGATTCTGAATGCTTGGATTTTGCCATGTTGGAACACACATGAGGAATTATTGGCTCCCCTACAGAGTTTCAATATAGGCCACAGAGACTTAAAATAAGTCTCTTGCTCTAGAACTAGGGGCTTGATTCTGTGTCCATTATAAACACAGGGGTGAAAGGGACCCAAGGGATCATCTAGCCAACCCCTGCACAGATGTAGGATTCTTTATTCCTACATCCTTCCAGACTATCATCTTGATGCCCATCCAGCCACTTCTTGAATGAGATTCAACAGTTTTCCTTAGCACCTTGTACTTTTGTCCTACTGTTCCTACAGTTGGAAAGTTTTTCCTGAGATTTCATTTAGATCTGCTCTCCAGGTGCTTAAAGCATATTCAGTGAAAAGTTACCACATACTCCAAGAATGAAGGATCAGGCCCTATGTAAAGGCCCTGACAAGAATCAAACTTTCTGGGTAAAGTAAATTAGAGTGAAATGAATCAGATTTTAGAAATACAACTGGAGGGGGAAGGGGAGGGTTGAGGAAGCAGGCATGAATTGAAAGAAGATGCAATCTTTATAAAAGCATATTCCTCAGAATGATAGATAAAAGTATAGATTTCTCATCCCATTTTCCTCATAGCATATATTAGATGACAACTGAATTATAGATGAAGCTCTACACACTTGCAGCTGCTCACAGAATAAACAGTGCACAGCAGCCCAGCCAGTCCCACTGAGGTCAACATTGTAGTGAATTCTCAGATTTAAACATGGATTTTACTATTGCTAATATTTTTTTTCCAAAATGTATGATAAACCTTGGTTTAATATGTATTATAGTATCCGGCTATACCTGTTACCCTCCTTGGCAAAAGGAAGACTATAACACCATTTTACTTGAATATAAGACTACCCTGACTATAAGACAACCCCCCAATAATTTGGTTCTATATACAGTAGGCAGTGTAGGGTGGTGGGTGGCAGCAGCAGCTGTTGCATGCAAGCTTCCCCCCTCTCCCCCCACTGGCGTCCAGTCAACTGGCCGGAAATTCCAGTTAATAGAGTATTCCAGATAGTAGAATACCGGTTAACACAGCTTTTACTGTATATCAAATTTTCATTGAATCAACTATTAGGTAAAAGCACCAAAAGCCCCACTAAAGCACCCAATCTATGCAGACACTGCAGAGCCGGGTCAAAATAATGTGCAGCTTCTTCCAGTAAAGCATTTTCTTCTTACATCTGCAAGCAGCCTTTGTGCTCTGGTCCCTGATCTTCCACAGGGCGTTCCTGAAGCAGGAGATGAATTGGTTGAAATGAGCTGTCTGAGTTCCCTGCTGCTTGGTCAAGTGACCAAACAGCACTGCCTCTCTGGTTAGGGTCTTGACCCCTCTTATCATCAAGAGGAGTACAATTACTTTCCTCCACACCTTCTTGGTTAAAGGGCAGTACCGGAGGAGGTGATAGAATATTTCCACTTTCCACTGGCAGGTTTGCCTGAGACAGTTTGGTAGGCCTCTCTGCCCCTCTGTTTTTCCACGTCTAGGCGGGGAGTGCCTGGGGCGGAGCTACCTACCAGTTCAAATCTCTGTGCTCCTTCTACAGGTCTTTCTGGAAGATTCACTCCCACACAGCCTGTTGGTTGTTGCTGGGTAATATGTCTGTGGTCAACAAAATGTCTCGTGCTCTTACCACCTCCAGCATCTTACAGTGGTTTGTCAGGTTGCTGGTATTTTGTTTTGCAGATCGTATTTATTCTGGAAGCATTTCAGGACCTCGTAGAACCATGGTGGCTCCATAGTCCATGGGCTTGTGTTGGGCAGCGTATACACCCTCCAGTGTCACAGCAGGTGCCCTGCATTGACAAGTAACACAGTTTCCATAGTCGCAGTCTCTGTTTGACCTTGGCCTCAGTCTTTTCTCATGCTCTTTGCCTGGTCAGTTCTCGGTCGATCTCCACCCCAAGGATTTTTCCCCCTTGTGGGGGACAGAGACCCCCAGTGCCAACAGGTCTCTGAATTTGCCCATCCTCCCAGGCAAGTGCTTTTGCTCCTGCTGAGCTTGGTCCCCACCACTGTTCTATATACCTGAGTGTGTTGTAACTCTTTCAACTGACCATTTGTCCCTGCATATGATTTGAGATCATCCATTTTTTCCTGGTTACTCCCAAAGATGTCTACTCTGCTGATCCCAGAGTCCCACCTGAGCTAGTGGGCTGGTGGTTCCATCATATAGATAAACAGGATTGGGGATTGTGGGCATCCCTGCCAGATGCCAAACTCCACTTTGATCAGGGCTGTCAGGGACCCATGCTAACACCCTGCTGCTCACATCACTGTACAACTTCTTAATCCATATGGTGAAGGCTGGGGGACCCCCATCTTCATCATTATCTCAAACAGGAATTGGTGGACCACTCAGTCATAGGTCTTCTCCTGGTCAAGGTTCAGCACAGCTGTTTTCAATCATCTCTCTCCCTGTTGGTACTGTAGCACATCTCGTAGCTGCAGCAGGGTTCCATGGATCTACCGCACAGGCACTGTGCATGACTAGTCCTCATGGATCACTGCACCTGTGACAGACTTAAAATGCTCAGCCAAGACTTTGGCCATCATCTTATAGTTGAAGCTCAGAAGCATTATGGATCTCCATTTTTTTTTAGTTTATCTCTTGCCTCCTTCTAATAAAGAAGGGTTATGAGACACCCAGATGGCCCTCTTGCAGGTGCTCTTTACAGACCTCCAGCAGGTCCAGGCCCACCTGGTCCCAGAAGGTCACATAGAGACCTTGGGCAGGCTGTCTGCCCCAGGAGTCTTACTCTTCTTGAAATGGTGAAGAGTTCTATTGATCTCCTCCTGCATCCATTCCTCCACCAGCTTCTGACTCTCTTCCTCCCCAAGGACCTGGGTAAGCTCCAGCAGGCATCCTACCTGGCCTCAAGTCCTCTGGGCGCACAGTGTACAGCTCCCAGTAGACAGCCGCTGCTGTCTCCAGTATCCCCTTGTTTGACCAGTGCTCCACACTCACTCAGTCTACCAGACTGGTCATGGCTTCCTTCTTGCCTTCTTTAACCTGCTAAAATAAGCAGACCACTCCTCTCCCTCCTTCACCCAGGGGGCCCTTCCTGGCCTGTTTTCTGTACCAGGTTTCAATCTGGCTCTTTACCTCCCGCATGGCCTCCCTTACTTCCTAACCCCCAGCTGCCTGTTTGTGCAGGCTCTGCAAATTGCAGTTTAGCTGTTTGCATTGTTTTCTCTGGAATCAGGCTCACTTCCTTCCAGCCTGCTGGAAGAAGTCTCTTGTTCTTTCTTTCATGCTGGCCCACCACTATACTCCATGTAGTTCTGGTACATGGGTCTGAGGGTTTTCCACCCTGCATAGTGCTGCCTGAACTCCTGCTGCATCTTTTCATTGTCCAGAAGGCTCAGGTTCAGAGTTCACATTCCTCTGCCTTTCTTGGGCTGCCTCCTCATTTCTGCTTTCACTGTCAGGAGGCAGTGGTCCAAGAAGCAGACAGGTGCAGATTCAGGTTTAGGTACTT